GGGGGAGAAAGAGGATTATTTTTGTTTTAAAAAGACTAAAGCAATTAATCAAAGGACATATATGCATGAACACATAGCCCATGGACACAGGCAATAATGTGGTGAAGGTCTGGGGGAGCAGCTGGGGGGGCAAAGGCAGTGGGGTGGAAATAGGAGACCTCAGTATTACTGTCAACAATAAAAAAGTAAAAAATAAAAGACTAAAGCCATAACAACCAAATGCAATGCCTGAATATTATTAGGTCTTGATTTTAAAACTAATACTATAAGATAATCTTGGGTATAATGGAGAAATCTAAATATGGACTGGATACCCTTTGCACTCCACATATCGCTAACAGCAAGGCTCTGGATGTTTGTTTTTCAGTTGAAAACATTCCAGATTGATTCTACATAAAGATCCCTATTCCCCAACTCCTGTTTGGAAATGTAGCAACACTAGGCTTGCATTGCCCCCAGACACAGTCCAGCACTGCAGAACAGGTGCCCTGATTTCCACACAACCTCCACCTTTCCAGTGCTCCCTGACACACGCAGAGATCACAACCCTCTACAAGCTAAGGAGAGAGGCCTTCAGAAGAGACCACCCCTGCAGATACCTGGATCTCACTCCTAGCCTCCAAAACCAGGGAAATACATTTCTATTGTTAAGCCACCCAGCTTCTGGTACTTTATTTGAAAGCCCTAACAAACTAATACTTATGTCCTTATGAAAAAGATTTGGCCCACTTCACAAATCTAATCATCAGCCTAGCCCTGAGGCATCGGAATATAAACTGTGTTTAAATTCATTCATTCATTCATTCATTCATTCATTCATTCATTCATTCATTCAACACTTGAGCACCTACTATGCCCTGGACACTGAGAATTTGTTGATTCAAGTACTTCAGCATACAAATCAATTGTATTCTCTTCTCATTTAACAGCCAGCTTGTAGTTTTCCAACCATTTTTGCTGGACAGCTGTACGTGGCCTTTGGTTGTCTGATGCTGCTTCTCCTGATGAAAGGAAAATGATCTTCATAATGATCTGTTAGGAACAGCATCAGAGACCCTCGTTCTCAACTCTAGTTAGATGTCAGAATCACCTGGGATGTTTTAAAAATACCTATACTGGGACCAACCTTCCCCTCCGCACCCCTCAATTCTGATTTAGTTGGTATTGGAGTGGAACTCCAGTTGTGTATTTCTTTAAGCTTCCCAGATAATTCTAACGTGCAACCAAGGTTGAGCACTATTAGTCTAGTCTGAAAGGGCCTTGGAGGTCACCTTCTCTCCCACACAGTTCACAAACCACCAGCACTGGCATCACCGGAAGTTTGTTAGAAATGCAGAATCTCGGATTCCAATCTAGACTACTGAATCAAAATTCAGTATTTTAATAGGATTTTAACAGGACTCCCCACACAATTCAGATAAGCTAAGAAATTTGAGAAGCATGGATTTCCACTAGAATCACCCAGAAAGCTTGTGGAAAACAAGACTACCTGGCTTCTTGCCAGAATCAGGGAATCTCAATCTCTGGTAAGAGCGTGGGAATCAGAACTTTGTATATTGTTATGTAGCTAGCTAGTCACACAGGGGCCTGAGGCTTAGGAATCACTCATCCCCTCAACTACTCAGTCTTTGAGTCTTTTTGAAAATAAAAAATATAACAGATACAGGCTTTTATTTTTCCTTCATGCACGCAAGTTTACAACTATTTATACTGTCTGGGAACAAAGAAATAAATGCATTATTACCAGGTGTCAAATTAGCAAGTAAGAAAACCAGTTACTGATTAGTTTTGGGAGGTTATTTTCACAGAACAGAGCAACAATTTCCAAATTATACTTCCAAAACTGGAGTTATGAGACCAGGACAAGCTGATAACAATTCTAACAGTTACAGAAGTCTCCATCTTATACAGGAAAGAAAGACTAATATTCTGGTGAAGGGTCTCAAGTAAGCACCACATCCTATCAGTCTTTGGAACAGTTTAGAACAGAACAGTCCCTCCCTCCTTTGGTGGATGCAGGGGAAAGGGAACATCCCCTTCATCTCTCTTTGAGACTTCTTGTTAATTCTGAAGACCTGTAATTCTAAGGTCCATCTCTGGAACTTCATTAGTTAAAATTAAGTACAAAAAGCAAACCTGATGCAATAACAATGTACCCCAGCGCTATCACCACCAAAAGAGAGTCCCAGTCTCCCAAAGTAGTCACAGTTGAATTGGCACAGTACCTTGGACTTCCGATAAATACAGGCAGAAAGAGAGAGAGAGAATGAAACCAGATTGATCATAAGTTAATAACTGATGTAGCCAGGTGATAGGTACACAGGGTCCATGGACTATCCTCTTAACTTCTGTGCNATGAAACCAGATTGATCATAAGTTAATAACTGATGTAACCAGGTGATAGGTACACAGGGTCCATGGACTATCCTCTTAACTTCTGTGCATATCTGAAAGTGTCCATAATAAAGAGCAAAAAGTTTAAAAGAAATAAAAAGCAGACCTATACAGCTCTATTTTCCCATTAGGCAAAAATCAGGACCATGGTAAGATTTTACTTTGAGGCAAAATAAACGGCATATAGCATTAATCTTCCCCATATATAAGGCTACACCGAGAACAAAAAAGCATCCAAAGTAACACCTTTCTGCTTCTGTTTTCTCTTATTCATAAAACACAGTAATGATGAAACGGAGATTGGACAAAACTTGGAGCATATCCCCACCTAGACAAAAATTTGGACATACCCTCTCCTTTGGTGGATACATCCTGTTACCCTGTATTTCCCAGCAACCCCTTTAATTCTCCCATCTCCACCCTTGGGAAGGTCCCCCTGTGTCCCCTCCATCACTGAGAGACAGGCATATTCTCCCTGAGCTTTCTTAAGCCATTTCTATCTGCTTTTCCAGGCCCACTCCATACTAGACTTATTCCCATACTATGTTTTTGCTCCAACTCCCCTGTGTAGCGCACCCTCTCTACAACTCTTTAAGTCAAGGCCTCCAGAGCCCTCAGAGCCCTCAGAATGAGGTCTTCCATACAGAAAGGGAAGCTGTAGGGAGGGCAAGTATAGCTACAGTCCTACTTCCCGACCCCCAAGGATGAGAAGGGGAGAGAACACAGAGAAGCCTGGGCAGGGAGGGCCCAGCTCAGCTTTTACACCCTGTGGAAATGAGTCTTGGAGATCCAGAACAGATTCTGCCCATCCCTGTCCCCAGGCCCCCAGAAGAGAGCCTTGGGATTCCCCTATACTAAAGACTTAAGCCTACTCCTATGGGAATTCGAAGGTAGAAACAAAGAAGGAAGAGCAAGTCAGGAAATACGGAGGTGTGAAATGAAGTAGACACAGGTTCACACATCGGAACTACCTTTTCCCCAGCAACCCCACTACAGCACACTGCATTCTATGAGTCTAGTCTCCACCCTCATTTGGAGCCACAGCATAAGGACAGTGAGCACATGTCCACACATACCAGCCCACCCATCAGTCTGACAGCCAACAGGATTCTTGGAAGGCTGGGGAAGGTAGGTGTGTGTCTCATGCACTGGCAAGGGGCCTGGGTCCACAGGCAGTTCTTGAGGTCCTTGTTGAACAGGAAGTCAGTTGGGGCTGATAACAACCTAGACAAAATTCCATGGCCTGAAAGGAATGAGGCAGGCGTAGAGCTTGATGAAGGTTCACCAGTGGAAGGGCCCAGAGGCAGGAGACACATGATGGTATAGAACACACGGCATACTGCTTCTCATTCTTCGCCTCATCCAGGCCCAGCAGTCAAGCGCCAGTGTGCTGCACATCCAGCAGGAGAGCATGGACGATTGTCCAAAGCCAGAGATCCTGCAGGTGGTGCCTTGGCTAGTAGCCCCAGGGCTACTGAACAATCAGTTCTGGCTGATGGTCAGTACCATGTGCGTTAGCTTCATTTTGCAGTGGCAACAGGAAATCTTGCCATAGACAGCATGCATGGCCAGCAGGAACGCAAAGCCCACCGAAGTCACCGGCTCTGAAGGGGCAGAGCTAAGGAAGCACTGACCCTCCTGGACAGTGACTCATGACCGTCCATGTTGAAGAGGTGGGAAAGGCCCGAGCCAAGAACAAGGTGCAGGCTTGTAGATAGGGCAGCACACATATGAAGCATGTGTGCTTAACATATAAACGGTAGGAGCAGGATCACATAACCTGTGACACTAATGTGAAAAAGCAAGGCCATGGGGAGGCAAAAGAACATGATCCTAAGTGCCATATTCTTGTAACCGAAGTTCAAAGGGAAGAGTGCACAGAGGCCAAGGCAAAGGGAAGGCAGCCAGCCAAACACGCATGGTCCAGCAGGTCCAGCAGACCTGTGCAAGGTTACTGGGATTTGTTTACCCCAGGCTCAGGGGTCTGCACTGGCTGCCTTGCTGGGCCTTGCTTGCCTTCCTTTCCTTTCTCTGCACGGGCCCCTTCACTCATAAGGTAGTACTGCAGGGGATTGGGCCACAGTTCCTCATTAATAATCTCAACAATCTTGTCGGACTCAATAGAAATGTGGTTTGAGAACCACCCAAAGAAGCTCGGGCTGTTGTCTGGGTTCCCCTGGCTGAGGAACTGGAGATCCTGCCCTGGGAGCCACTGGATTGGAGTAGAGCGAGACACCACCTGACCCGAGGGGCCACACCCATATTCCTTGATGAGCACCTTGTTTTGGAAATAGGGGTTGAGCGCGAAGTAGAACTTGATTTTGTAGCCCAGTCTGGCGAGGCCAAGCTCTTCCACCTCCAAGCTGTTCAGGTAGCCGAGCACTTCTTTGTCTTGGCTGTTGAGAAAGGACGACAGCTGCGGGTGGTTCTGGAAAGCCTGCCCCCAGAAGCCGGGGATGCTCTGGATGAGCAGGTTCCTGCGCTCCAGGTGGTGCAGGCGCAGCTGCCCGAACTTGCGCGAGAGGCGCAGGTAGGCCCGGTCCGCCTGCGCGTTCATGGTCTCCAGCTTCAGCTGCACGGTCTCCAGCGTGTCCATGCTGCCCGCCGTCGCCGCGGACGCGGGCCCGGCCTCGCTCTCCGCCTTCTCCTCCACCGCGGGGGCCGCCGCACCCTCCCCGGCCGCCCCTTTCTTGGGCTTCGCTCCGGCCACGGCCTGAGGCCCCTTCCCCGCCGGGGCCTTCTTCCCC